AGACGATTTGCTTCCAAAAAATTAAATGTGAAGAAGTGTCAACACACTAATGATATTGACAGTAGTTTAGAGGCTGGGTTCTAAAGTCAAACTGCTTTGGCTTAAATTCTGACTTTCACTAGCTATGGGACGTATGCCTCTATACTTTAGATTCCTCATGAAAAAATATCTCCTCCATTGGGTTACTGTGAGAATTAAATGACTTAATACATGTAAGGTGCTTAGAACAGTGTATTGAGCCTTCAATAAATATTAGCTAGTTACCATCATCCTTATTCATTATTATATATTTTTGTAAAAGGCTCAAAACCTACTTTCCACCTCTTTCTCCCCTTACTAAGGAACAGACTAGACCACAGAATCACAGAAATGTTATACAGTGCTGTATTAAACCCCTACCTTATAATTTTCAGATCAACTGTTTTGTTCCTACTTTCTTTAAAAAATAAACTGAAGTTTAATATTTACATTGTATACACTGCACTCATCCTATTTTTCATTTAACTGCTAGCATGCTATAAAATACTGTATATCTATAATGACCAGTATATACACAGAACAAATGGTACCTATATATACTGAACAACACAGGTCTTCAGGAAACCACAATGTTTTAAAAGGAAAAAAGAAGATGAAAGCTGGAATAGGAAGTAGCTCTAATACTGTTGTTAAATTTAAATATCATATCTAATGTACTTTTTTACTTTTAAAAAGGTATCTAAATAACATTTTTACAATTTACAAGCAAAACAAACTACCTTAAACCATTAGTGTAAGGTTTATTCTAGACTAGAGAACTAAGTCTGCGCAACCAGAACGAGAAATATTACAAAGATAGAATCCATCATGAGTTTGCCTGGGGTTATTCTGAAACCTATAATCCAGAAATGACAGACAAGGAGTTCTCTGACTTTTTTTTTTTTTTTCCAAAGAGTACTAGAACATTACCATAAAAATTCTTTACTGTTTGTTATGTAAAAGATAGAGGAAAGTGGCAGATAAAATGAAGAAAATAGGCCAGGCTTTGGACTCTGGGCCTACCTATTAATTTTGCTTTCTTGATCATAGATATAACCGTCTGCTTTAAATCTCAGGAGAATACACTGGTTAATAATGAAAAAGATTTATTTCCCCACTAAATGTTCTTTGGCCTGATTACTTTCCTATATTGTTTATTCATACCTTACCAGGAATATGAATAGCTTATCAAAAAGCCACTCTCAGCATAAAAAAAATCCACTTCTTCAAAAAACTAAAGTCTAGGGAATTCCCTGGAGGTCCAGTGGTTAGGGCTCCATGCTTCCAATGCAGGGGGCATAGGTTTGATACTTGGTCGGGGAACTAAGATCCTGCAAGCCATGTGGTGTGGCCAAAAAAAAAAAAAGAACTAGAGTCTAATCCATAAGTCCTCCCAAATATTTAAAAACTTAAACCCCGAAGAAAGGAGAACAATCACCCATTCTACAGAACATCAAAACCACTGAAAGCAAAAAGAATAGACTTTGCTTGTATGTACTTGTATAATCTTTTCTGAAAACCTAGGAGGTAGACATGTTCATACACTACAGTTCAGGAAACTGAGTCTCAGAGAGGTTAAGTAATATGCTCAAGTTACAAAGTCAGTAAAATAAAGACACAGGACTCAAATTCACAACTTTCTTACCAGCTAATGATAAAGCAGAAATGACAGGCATTCCCTGTACACCAGCGTGAGTGGCCACGGAGACGAGGATTACAGAACAAGTCCTTCAGTGCTCCCTCCCAACTCCATGCGCTACACCGGAATCTAGCAGGTTGGATTCAAGTTATTTTTGAACACAGTTGATTGCTCAAGAACGGAAACAGCTCCCTCCCAAGTCTCACCCCCTAATTCACAGGTGAATTATCTTCTGCCTTATCTTCTGTTAATAAATAAATGAGCAATTATTTACTGAAGACCCAGAAATGTAACCATACCATAAATTGCCCTTTTTATAAGTGCCATATAATGTGGTGTAGAAGGAAGAGACCACTTATATCTTTAGTATCTGCCCCTCAAACGCTCTTGTTTTATAACACATAATTGCACTTATTTACATGAAGGTTGCTCTTTACTAGTCTGTGAGCTTTTGATACAAAATTCTGCATATTCCCCACTCAGTATTAGTCAAAATGTAGGTGGTGTCCACTAAAAATGTTGAAAGAAGGAGTGAACGAAACATTGACGAGTTGAACCTTAAATAACAACATTTAGAGAGATGGAGAAAAAGAAGGGGAAGTACGTCCTAATGAGGTGGCTGGCAACCAGGCAGACGACTGCTGGGGAAATGGATAGGCAGGTCTGAGTAGAAGATCCGTATCACCAAGCAGCAAAAAAACGGTAAACTGGAAGATATGGAATTCCTGACTGCAGGGTTAGGACTTCATTTTCTAAATTAGGCCAAAAGTTTCTGAACATTTATTTTTAATGCAGGGGAATGCTTTGTTTAAATTAAACCCTACTCGAAACCCCAATATAGAAAACAGGTAAAAGCAAAGCCGTACCGGTTGAAGCCCCACTCAGTCTCCATCTTACCTAATTGAGAAGTCCCCAAAGCCCCTCCTTGGAGCACAGTTTGAAAACCACTGGGTTAGAAAAAGGTCTGGAAGGACAGATACCAAAGTGCTCAGAGCACTGACTTCTGGAGAACTGGGTTGGCCTAGGTTGAGGGAGCAGGGTAAGGAAGGACTTGAAATACTATTTTCACTTTTTAAATCCTGCCTTTTTTTATATTATTTGAACTTTTGTTTATATTGAGCACTTTTTACTTTTTAATTTCAAAAGAAATAAGATACCATTGATCTAAAAAAGCATTTTTAATGGTTAAATTTCTTCACGAGAATTGCCACATTTTATTTATTTATTTTTTTAAAGAAGATGTTGGGGGTAGGAGTTTATTAAATTATTTATTTATGGGGCTTCCCTGGTGGCGCAGTAGTTGAGAGTCCGCCTGTCGATGCAGGGGACACAGGTTCGTGCCCCGGTCCGGTAAGATCCCACATGCCGAGGAGCGGCTGGGCCCGTGAGCCATGGCCGCTGAGCCTGCGCGTCCGGAGCCTGTGCTCCGCAACGGGAGAGGCCACAACAGTGAGAGGCCCGCATAACGCAAAAAAAAAAAAAATAATAATAATATTTACTTATTTTGGGGTCTTCGTTTCTGTGCCAGGGCTTTCTCTAGTTGTGGCAAGCGGGGGCCACCATTCATCGCGGTGTGCGGGCCTCTCACTATCGCGGCCTCTCTTGTTGCAGAGCACAGGCTCCAGATGCGCAGGCTCAGTAGTTGTGGCCCACGGGCCCAGCTGCTCCGCGGCATGCGGGATCCTCCCAGACCAGGGCTCAAACCAGTGTCCCCCGTGTTAGCAGGCAGACTCCCAACCACTGCGCCACCAGGGATGCCCCGAGAATTGCCACATTTTAATGACCATTTCCTTATAGCAGGATATTTTCTTGACTAAATTATACTGCAATGAAAATGAACATCTTTGTGCATAAGACTTTCTCATATTTAGAATGATTTTCTTAGGATAAATTTATACAAGTTAATGGTTCCCATTTACGTTCAATTAGTATTTTTTAAAAGTCATCCTATAGGGACTTCCCTGGTGGTGCAGTCGTTAAGAATCCGCCTGCCAATGCAGGGGACACAGGTTCGAGCCCTGGTCGGGGAAGATCCCACATGCCGCGGAGCAACTAAGTCTGGCCGCCACAACTACTGAGCCTGCGCTCTAGAGCCTGTGAGCCACAACTACTGAAGCCCGCGTGCCTAGAGCCCGTGCTCCGCAACAAGAGAAGCCACCACAATGAGAAGCCTGAGCACCGCAACAAAGAGTAGCCCCCACTCACCGCAACTAGAGAAAATCCGTGTGTAGCAACCAAGAACCAACACAGCCAAAAATAAATAAATAAATAAATGTTTTTAAAAAGCCATCCTATAGTAGCAAGATTTGATCCTAGCATGCATGTTTAAGATATATAAAATCTAGGGCTTCCCTGGTGGTGCAGTGGTTGAGAGTCCGTCTGCCGATGCAGGGGACACGGGTTCGTGCCCCGGTCCGGGAAGATCCCACATGCCGCGGAGCGGATAAGCCCGTGAGCCGTGGCCGCTGAGCCTGCGCATCCGGAGCCTGTGCTCCGCAACGGGAGAGGCCACAACAGTGAGAGGCCCGCGTACCGCAAAAAAAAAAAAAAAAAGAAGATATATAAAATCTAATTTACAAAACTAATTAGCGAAGTTTCCATATCAAAAAATGTATTAAAGAAAAATCTGAAACAGAACTTGAAGCCTCTCTACCTTTCATGAATTTTTCATAACTTCTCTTGCCACTTATCAAAACCATACACTGAAACAATTTTCCTTCACAGTTGGGTTTCACTATCCAATTCTGTGAAGTCACAGTACTGTGACAGTACAATCATTCTCTGGCAACAAACTGACATCACTAAATTCTTAATTGTAAGTTCTGTTGGGTATATGGATGTTCTATTTTTACTTCTAAGATCAAAATCTATTTTCTGTTGCCTCTCCATTAAGCTCATATAATTGATACATTTTCTTTTTTCTTGGACAAGAAAGTAGGATTTATTGGTGGGCGTGAGTAAGGAGGGGACAGCGCCAAGGCTCTCGGGAGTGCAGGGCCCGCCATCTGTCCAGGGGGCCACAACGAGGGATGCATTCGACTCCACAGCCATCCGGGATAAGCCGCTTTTCTGCCACCATGTTTTCAAATTTGTCCGCATTAAACTTTGTAAATCCCCACTTCTTGCAGATGTGGATCTTCTGGCGGCCAGGGAACTTGAACTTGGCCCTGCTGTGGGCCTCAATCACATGTTCCTTGTTCTGCAGCTTGGTGCAGATGGACATCATGACGTGGCCAATGTGGACCCTGACCCCTGTGCCCTGGGGCTTTCAAAAGGCACCACCCATACCTGTCTGGAGCCTAGACTGGGGACAGCATGCCAGTCATTAATGTCCACTGGAAAGGGCTGTCTTCGAGGTCCCTTAGGGCAACCTATACAGGCAACAGGCTGCATACACTACCGAGGAGGCTGCTGTTTGCAACCATTGCGCACCAGGCCCCCATGGGGAAAAGAGCACAGTTGGCTGGATTGGCTGCAGATGATTGATACATTTTAATCAATGTATTCTCTTTGTCCCCAGCCATCTTTATAAAACTGCCTTTTGGTGAGTGCTCAGAGAATGCCTATCTGTTCAAACAAAATATAAATGGCTGCCCGATTGCCTCCTCCTGTGAACAGCCTGCAATGTTCTGTACTTCTTGAAAGCAGAAACCCCAGAGTCAGAAAGTCTGTTGTTCTTTTTCTTATCTCTACTACTGTTTTAGTATAACAAAAGTACTTTTTGTTAAATTAACTTTTTGTTAAATAAGTGAATGGAGTTCTATCACTAATGAATCCAACTGGGCAAAAAGAATTTCTAATAAAAACCTTTTTCTGGCTTCCCTGGTGGCGCAGTGGTTAGGAATCCACCTGCCAATGTGGGGGACACGGGTTCGAGCCCTGGTCCGGAAGATCCCACATGCCGCGGAGCAACTAAGCCTGTGCACCGCAACTACTGAGCCTGCGCTCTAGAGCCCACGAGCCACAACTACTGAGCCCATGTGCCACAACTACTGAAGCCTGTGCACCTGGAGCCTGTGCTCCACAACAAGAGAAGCCACCACAATGAGAAGCCTGCGCACCGCAACGAAGAGTAGCCCCCACTCACCGCGACTAGAGAAAGCCCGCGTACAGCAACGAAGACCCAACACAGCCAAAAATAAAATAAATAAATAAATAAATAAATAAATAAAAATTAAAACAACAACAACAACAAAAAACCCTTTTTCTTTTTCCAAAAGCAAGGATTGCTAGAAACATCAAGGTCACTTCTACTACTATGTAACAGTTCTAATAGTCAGGGTATTTAGACTCTATCAGCAAAGATTTGCCTAGGGCCTACTGGGCATGGGGCACGATGCTAAACGCCAGACGTTCAGTGTGAACAAGACAGAAGCAAGGCCTGCTCTCATAGATCTTTCCCTCTTGGTGCAAAGGCACTTGGGCAAACCACGAATCTTTATGAAACGAGAAGTTCCAATACCAAAAATAGAAATATTCTTTAGAAGAAAGAGACCGGAACCAGACTTTGGAATACCCGTAACACTGGGCCGAGGAATGCAAAGTTTATATTTGAGTAGAGGAAAATGAGGTATTCAAAGGGATCCTTAGAAAATATTAATCTAATCAGGCTCTGATTAAACCTTTTCAATGGCTTCTCATTTCCTCTAAGATAAAGCCAAAATGTTTAAAAAGGGTAACTAAATCTTGTATCACCATTCCCACCTACCCAAGATCTTTGGCTGTGGTCATACTGTTCTTTTTCTCTGTTTCCTTTATTGTAGGGATTTTCAAACTTTATACATCACAATCTAGTAAAGTATCTATGTGTGACACGCTTATTTTCTATTTTATTTCTTTTTAAAAACATGCAGTTCACAACCACTAAATTAATTTTACAATCTCCTGGTAGGTGCCTAGGTGCCTGCAGCTTGAAAAATACCACCTTGGTATATACCACACTCTCTCTCTCTCACTTCTTGGCCTTTCCACACATTCTTTTCGCCGGAAACATTCTTGCTCATCCTCCTTCTTGCCTTTTTCTGGCTACTTCCTATGCTACTTTGTGACCTGAGCTCTTAAACATCACTTCCCTGACCCTCTTAGATTAGTTCCCCCTCCTCTGTGTTCCTGAAGTACTCTATGCTTTCTAACGTTCATTAAGCTTTACTGTAATTGTATGTGTGCTAATTGTCTTTCTAGGCTGTACACTCCATAAGCATCAGGACCCATTCTTGGTCTCTGCTGAATCCTGAGAGCCTAGTCCAGTGCCTGTTACTTATTAGGCACTCAGTCAATGAGGATTAAAGCAAGTAAGGAAATGGACTTGAATAATCTATATATTTAACCGCACAATGAAATGAGCACCCACTTAAAAACTGTTAAGAGGTTTAGCCAGTTCCAAGGAAAATATATTCTCAGTTCCAATTATATAAATGGTGATTAAGTTCCTAAGCTAGCCTACAAAACGCTGTTACCCACAAGCACTTAACTGATGAGCGGATGGCTGCTTATTTGCCTCTCTGCAAGGACAAGAGAACTTTCACTCCTCTAAGTAGGAGAAAACAGGATTAAAGGGACACCTTGCTTTCTCCCTACTCTATCAGTTCCTCCTAGAGCAAAGTGACTTATCTAATGGCTGAGATAAGACTAAAGGTCAATATTCCAGACAGGCCCCAGCCCTGAGCTCTCACTGGCTCTTGGATTTATCTGTCTTCAAGAAGAGAAGGTTCTCCTTTCCCTTCCAACTCCCATGAGGAAATTTCCCCAAGACAGGGCTTTCCCTGCCTGCAGGGGAGACCTGCAGTTTTTTAGGTGCTATAGAATCACGTGGGCAGATAAATTAAGAAGGAACAGAGGAAGTGTGGGTCTAAGTTAATTCTCCAATCCAGCTTTACCAGAAATGAAAATTAAATTATATTTTAATAGTACTATAATCCTCATCTGGCTTCTTGAATCTGATCTCAATTTGTAGAATCTGGAGAGAGAAGAGACGTAATCAGCAAACTGAAAAGCTCCAAGAGGAATAACAGTCATCCCAGTCTGATTTCTGGGTCTGAGGAGAAGAGTAGCACAGAGCAACAAGGTGGAGCAAAAGGGAAGGGAATGAAATGAAGGAGAAAAGGGTTTCTTTCACTTTTCCTCGTTTGAATTTTTCTTGGGCAAAAATGTCTAAAGAAGTTGAACCTATCTTTGTGTCCTACAACCTTCCCCTCCAAATTGTTTCTCATTCTTGCTTCTCTTTTCTCATCTTCCAGACCTTTTATGCTGCCCATAGATCTCCATTTTCAACACCCACACTTGTAGAAATAGACCAAGTTTTCCCCAAACCTCCAAAATGTTCCATGATCCCACACCACTAACGTCTCCTATCCCTCCTCATGTCAAAACTCCCATTTCCTCAGTGCAGCTGATCTGGAGGAAAGCAATCTGATTAAATTCGTTCACATTAAGATAAAACAACTGGCTGACAGTCTAGCCAGCCTACTAGAGATACACATATTTTTTATTTTATACACACACACACACACACACACACAGACATTTTTAAGCTATAGAAATCTAACTACAGTAATTTCAGAGAAAAGATGAGGGGTGCCTAAAAATCTCCCATAAAGGAGGCAGGTCCGCTCTGATCAGCATTTCCCAGGGATCACATCCCCAAAGTTGTTCCCACATTTTCCCCAACTTTCAGTCCTTAAGTGACATTAAAAACCCCAGGGGGCAGAGAAAGCCAACTTGGGAAAGCATTTGTAACTACAGGATATTTAGTCATCCATTGGGTAAGTCCGTTACAATCAATATTAGGTTGGATAGGTTATAATTTCAGTATGTTTGACAATCATTCTATTAGGTAAAACATATACTCAGGTTATATATTGCAATTATTACCTCATTCTACTAATGAGGTCAATGAGGCATAAAGGGGTTAAATAACATTTCCATTGTTTAAAGTTTAGTAGTTGAAGAGCAGGACTGGAGGGCTCTTCACCCACTTTGAATCAGTTGTTTATCCATTAATTCCACTTGAAAATCTCTAATTTTATTTTCCATAACGTTTCTGAAATTTGGTAGTGCACTTTAGAACAGTCATATTAGAGTAAAAGAAAAATGAGCTTGAATTCCTGGGAGGTAAACATCATGTCTTTTTCAGTGGTTTTTGTATGAAAGACCTGAGGCTGATGCTGAATTTGTGTGCGCTCAGAAATTAAGCACGGAATAGGCAAAGTAGCATTCATTCAGCTGCAAGTGGCTCTTAACTTCAGCGCCATAAAAGATACTTATTTGCCGCCCAAATATGAATATAGCTGTAATAAAGACTACACACACTTAGGATGATAAGATCTTCCACTTTGCCTGAGAAGTATATGAAATTTTAATTGAGTAATTGGTGTTTGCTATTTTTTTATTAGTTTGCTTAGCTAGCCACCAAAATAAATTATTTGTAATTAAAGTGATGACTGGGACTTTCCAAACCAAGCATAGAATACATGAAAATGCTGTGTGTGTTCTCTCTTGACTTTGGTCATGAACACACTTTTTGTGGCTTTTCTCAAAATACCAGAAAGGGTAAAGGGGCAGTAAGGCACCCAAGAAATGACAGTTAGCATATGACATATGACATATGACAGACTTAAACGGCACTTATTCACTTCCTCCAAGTAGAAGCATTATGTTGCTTGGTATCAGGTTGGTTGGGTTTTTCGGTCAGTACTCGTCCCCCAAACCTAGAATTTTTTAAATATAATTCAACAATAAAAAGACAACCCAATTAAAATATGGGCAAAAGATCTGAATAGACATTTCTCCAAAGCAGATACACAGGTGGCCAATAAGCACATGAAAAGATGCTCAACATAATTAGTCATAAAGAAATGCAAATCAACACTACTTCATACTCACCAGAATGTCTGTAATAAAAACTAGCAAATAGTCAATAACAAGTGTTGGTGAGAATGTGAAGAACCTGGAACCCTCATACACTGATGAGAATGTAAAATGGTGCAGCTACTTTGGAAAGTCTGACAGTTCCTGAAAGAGTTAAATATACAGACCCAAAAGAATGGGAATCATATGCCCACATAAAAACTTGTACACAAATGTTCATAGCAGCATTATTCACAATGGCCAAAAAGTAGAAACATCCTTAATGTCCATCAACTGAAAATGGATAAACAAAATGTGATATTGTAGTACATCAATACAATGGAATACTATCCAGCCATAAAAAATAAGTACTGATACATGCTACACATGGATAAACCTTGAAAACATTATGCTGTGTGAAGGAAGCCAGACACTAAAAGCCACATAATGTATGATTCCACTTATATGAAACTTACAGAATTGGCAAATCCATAGAGACGGAAAGGAGATTAGTGGTTGCCAGGGGGTGGGATAACGGGGGAATGAGGAGTGACTTTTAATGGGTATAGGGTTTCATTCTGGGGTGATGAAAATGTTCTGCATGGTGGTGATAGTGGTGATAGTTGCAAAACT